CTATAGGGGGAGAATTTTGTACGAGGCATTTGTTTCCCTTGGCTCGGCTGCCACCAACACTGTGGTGCATCAGCTTTGGCCAGACTTGCATCACGTTGGTCAATTCAAAAACAAGGCAAGTGGACAGGCCGGTGCACCGAGGAGGAGGCTCTTCTCCCAATAAAAACAAATATATACAAACAAATACAGTAAAACCTTGGATTGCGGGCATAATTCGTTCCGGAAACGTGTTTGTAATCCAAAGCACTCGTATATCAAAGCATTCGTATATCAGTTGTGATCACGTGACGCTCGCAGACAAAGCGTATACTGTATGTACTACAGTACTCGTATTGCAAGACCTCGCTCGTTTATGAAATTAATATTTAAATTAAAAAATTTGCTTGTCTTTCAAAACACTCGCAGACCAAGTTACTCGCAATCCAAGGTTTTACTGTATATACAAATATATACCTCCCCTTGGACCTTGAAACCGCCTCGTGAACATTGAGTTCCTATCTTTTATAGATGTGGCAGGTAGTGTATACTCGTTGAAAAGTGTGGAGGAAAAGCAAAGGGGGGAGGTGCAGAGGTGGCACAAGACAGCGTCGTCATCACAAACCACCACCTGCTCATTAATATTAATGAGCACGTTGGCTCGTTACTAAAGGGGCGGAGCACAAGGCGGTGACGTCATTCGTGTTCAATGTAGAGGGGCTGTACATTTTGTGCTTTTAAGGCAGTGTTATCGACGAGCGTGAGGTTTTTTTTGCATGCTTGTGCACCACTCCCAACGCAGCACCAAATAATTCACTCCTGTGATGCTTCCGATTCAGTTATGATTATTGCACCAGCAGATGGAGTTTAACGATAACTGCCACTGCCTTATGCAGCGTCTGCTCCCTCCCCCCAACCCAATCCCCCTGCCTTCCCTGTACACTTTTCAATTAATGTACACTATCTGCTTCATCTACACAGCATAGGCCTCTCGATGTTATGTTAACAGCCCTGTCAATTCACTGCTGGATAAAGGTCTCTTGATGTCATGTCAGAATCATAATAGTTATTTATACAGGAGGAATCCGATGAGCTATGATGCTCTTTTTCACAGATGTCCAGCACGTTTTTTCACAGATGTTGGTCATGGGGGCCTCTTTGACATGCTTCACCATGCTGGTCAGTGCGGGTTGGTGAACAATCGGAGCTCAAGGTGGGCTCTGATGTCGCATAGCTCTGACTGGAAGTAAACTAAGGTTGCAGGTTCATAGAGAGCAGTGTGCATGCCCCAGTGCTGCCTTGTACTATGAAGCAACACAAATACAGATGTTGTGAATGTGTACCGTCATTTTGGTAGTTCCAAGAAGAAGCCTCAGGATTTTGCTTGAGCTCAACATTACAGAAACGGAACTAGGCCTCGTACAGAGGCATTTTTGTTGTCGTAAAAACACTTAAAGAACGCTTTGAACCATTGAACATTTAGTAAAAAAACCAGAAATATACTTTTGAGAATACAATTCCGATGCCTTAATTGTCAGCTGAAGTGGCATTGGGGCCTTATTGAGCACACTGCTAATTATCTTGTCAATGCTGTACAAAGTGCTGAAGCATTAAAATTATTATTTTAATGTTACGGACTGTCAGACACCCACTGCTATTATAATTGCTTTCCCCCCCATTCTGTGAATGAGCTTACAAGTAGGTTTTCATGACTGGGTTAATTTATGTATCCAACTCACTGCAGATTAAAAAAATGTGCACTATCGGTGAGATTTAAGTTAAATTAAGGGTTTAAAAAAATAATCAAAACATTGAATCTTATCGATTCAAACCTTCCAAAAATGTAGCTGTGGGATTTGTTTACCTCAATTGTTCAGAAAAATATCAACAAATTAATTAGCATCATACTTTGAAGCGGTGGCATGGGCCAGCCAGTAGCCCGTTTGCCGCTTGTGGCAAAGGTTCACAGTTCAAATCCACTGGCCTCCCTGGTTATTACTGCGGGTGTATTAACAATAAAAATCGTCTGCTTCACAGTGGACGTTGAAGATTTCCGTGATGTAATTTGCAAGCATCGAAAGGTCATTGTGTGCCAGAGTTAGAAAAATTACCAGCCAAATGACTCGATTGAGATTATTCGACTCAACTTTCGCCCCATACTGCGAAAACATGCTAGGACCTTCCTGTAAACGAGTCATGAGACACCGGTGAGGCTTTTCTCCAAACAAGCGTGTAGTGATAAGTATAATCGTTGCGTTCGTTAGTGTGTGGCTGACCAATATCATTACACAGATACCTATTGCTTTATTTTTATTTCTCTTGAATGCACTAATGTGCTTATCCTGCCATCTGGGTCAGTTGCTTAAGTTTAAGCTAATTTTAAGTTAAATAACCATACATTTGATACGAACGTGAATAATTTACAGTAGAACCCCTTTTATTGTATGTGTAGGTGGCTAATCTGTGCTGTGGATTAACCATGCCAGCCACACTTGTATTACCAAACACCTAACAAATGATGTAAGATATGTTAATATCAAGGTACATATGCTTACATGGTGAAGCAGGTTGGTCATAGTCAATTCATTTAACTAAATCTGGACTTGGCTTAGAGCAGTCAGCTCGGTTGAACCTATTTTCATCTCTCAACTTCAATATCTGTTGAAATCTAAGAGTACATTATAATGTATGCAAATACATTAACTTATACGCATCACGCCACTTTTTTATGGCAGTCACCTGATGCTGGTTGCATGTACCAGCGAAATGTCCTACCAAATTATTAACTGATATGGATTGCTCCACAACATACATCTGTGTTGAAGCAGTAAGGTTTCCCTCTCTTTATGCGGGTTCGGTTTGTGCCATTTTGCGTATCTGCGGCTGACATTTCCACCTAATATTCGCGATATACGGATTTAATTCACTCGTATGCGGATATTGTGTGTAGTGTGTGCGCTACTCAGCAGGCAGCTGTCCCGTGCGGTTTTGCTTTGTGCGCCCCTTTTTGCGCCCTTTTCTTAGAACGCATCTCCCGCATGAAGCGAGGAAAACCTAGAGTACATTGGCACGTTTTTTTCATGTGACGGCTTTATTTGGTTGTGTTGGGTGGAGGGGGGGGCATGACACACATTGGCATATTACGCACGTGATCTGACCCAAAAGTAAAAAATAATAAAATCTGTATATTTGTAGTTTTCACGTCTTCCAACGTGGTCACGTGGATTTTTCTCCGGGTTTTCCATTTTTTTCCTCCACATTTAGAATCATGCCTTTAGAGTATTTGTCTGCAATACATTTTCACGTGATCAGCCACTTTGTTGAGCTATCGTTTGTGGGCAGGTCGCTTCTGAAAAAGAGCTACATAGCTCAGTAGGCCTTAGCTTGTAAAACTATTTTACTTGCTATAAAGCTATAAGTTGGCTTTATTGAAGAGCAGTGGTAACTAGGATATATCTGCTGTTTTCAAAATGCCTTAATAGCCCAGAGGTTGCCTCCCTCACTAGCAAGCCATTTTGCGCCGAGTCGAAGATTCGCCCCTCATTGCTGTCCAGTTGTTTCTCTGGGGGTTTACCTGAAATGTTTTCTGCCTCTTGTAAAGCAGATGATGAAGACCTTTTGACTTGCAAGAGTATGCCATTATACATACTGTGAATCCACTGCTGGATGAGGGAATCCCCACATCGTGCGGGTCACAGGGGTTGAGTACACTTCACCATGCATAGACGTGAGGGGCAATACCAACATGACAGTCCAAACGAGACAGACAACACAAATGAGACAACCTATACAAACAAGACAATACAACATAGTACTTGCTAGACAAACTAAAGAGAGACGCATTGCAAGCAATGCAAAGGGGATGAAACAAATGGTACAGAAACTCAAATGAGAATGGGACAATGCAGACAAGACAATCCAAATTAGACACATTACGTGCAAGTTACACAGTCCACACAACTTGTTCATTACAAACGGGATGGCACAAATGCAACCAATAAAGAATGCTCTTTATTGAATCAAAATCGCAACCCCACATCGTGCCAGTTTATGAAATCGCTGGGGGTGAACTCATACGTGCTTGAGTGGTGTTTTGGCAAGCTACATGCCCATGAATGCAGCCCCTGTGCCTGGCCCTACCGAAGTGTTTGCCTGGCTGTGTGTGTGTCACCAGACATGCACAAGGCAGCATTATCTAACCAGGGGGATAGCACCTGCACTTGAGGTTTTGCTGTTGGATGCAGTAATTGTGCATTTGACATTTTCCAATGTATGCGGGAAATGTGTGTCCATATTTTGTCTCCATTGTTGTCGTTTGGTATTAAAATACTTTCATAGTTCGGTAACACCGTCATATAAACTGGCATTGTCTAAGAAAAATGTCATGTACACTGGTTTTTCAACATTTGTCATGTAGAGAATAATTGCTAACGATGTTTTCTACGTGAAAATGTCCTCGTAAAACAGGTGAACCTACCTTCCATGCCTTTATAGGCTGTAGGGGGCAACTGTGGGTCAGCAGTCTGCTCAGTCCAGCACGGTAAATAAGGGACCCAGCTTGAGTTGTGTGCGAGGCCTCAGATTCTGTATCCATGGTCTCTCTACTTTGTGGAGAATAGTGGTGCAATGGTTTGTGTGCGCTCTGCTCTATAATCCCAACGACATGGGTTTGATTGCTGGCCATGCACCTGTCCTTGTCTTAACAACCCCCCCCCCCCCACGTCATGTGAGGGGGCAGCCAGGACCAGTTCTCTTATCTCTCACCACTGATGTTAGCTGTGGTAGGGAATCGAACTCGGACATACCGATTCATAGCCAAGTGCCCCCAACTACTGTGCCTCTCCTGTCATCAAATCTACGTGAATGTTCGGTAAACTCACGTTTTTAGATTGTCATAGCGAAACATGAGAATGTTTCCACGCTTGAGTTGTCCTATTTAATTCTTCGTGCCTTGGTGGTCCAGATGTGATGGTGATGGTGGGGGGGGGGGATTAAACCCGTGTTGTGCTCTGTGTCGGATGCAGGTACGTGGGGAATCTCTCCCGACAGGTGACGGAGGCTCTCATTTTGCAGCTGTTTGGTCAGATCGGCCCATGTAAAAGCTGCAAAATGATCACAGAGGTGAACCAACACTCTTACTGTTACTCACCAGTCTCACCGCTCACCACAGTCTCAGCCACTTGAGCGTGAATTGTTTCCGTGTATTTGCATCTTGATCTTACTTCCATAATCGAGGTTTTTGGGTTGGATCACGTAAATATATTAATGTGTCGTTAAAACCTGCCACCACCCAACACAGTCAACTAGTAAGGGTTGTCACGTAAACAGAACGTGGCCAATTCGTCACTAGTACAGCACACCGGTGTGTTGGAGAGCCAAGCCACAACATTTACAATCTGAGTACAACGTTTCGCCAGTAATTACAACTAGCTTCATCTTACAGTTTGAGAACTCACCAGTCTATAATACACTTTTATACATCTTACACGTCCAATGTCACGGTCACACGAATATGAGAATAAGTAACCCACATTTTTCTCGCATAACAATGCACAAGGCTTCTTTGAAAACCTTAATTTGATTAACTGACATGGAATACATAATAATTAACATTTGTAAGGGGCATTTCATCCGTAGATCCCAACGCACCACCGTATATGTAAAGCAGGAAATTAACATAACCAGGGTAAATGGACAGAACTAGGGGGTGAAGGCCAATTTAAAGAGGTGAGACAGATTAGATTAATATAAACCGGCACAAAAGACGAAACGTAGAGCATATTGCCCATGATTTATGAATTATATAAAATGATAATGCATTTTTAAACTGTATATCTTACTTTTACTGCTTTGAAAATGCACAAATTTAAACCAATCCTTTATGGAACCTTCCACTCTGCATAGCCTCTTCACATTGGAGAAAGAGTGAAACGTTACACTTTCGGTGTCTTCACGTTGCCCGTCTAACTAAACGTTTGTGTACACCTCTACCATAGTGTGTGGTTTGATTCAATTGTTACATAAAATACAATGTGTGTTCCTTGTATTTCTATAATTAATATGTTATACAGCAAATTGCATTAGATGCAAAGGAAAATCTTACATAGTTCCATGACATCAAACTATTTTTCCTTAAAAATGTAGTTTTGTCAGGGTAGAGACATCACGTGGTACAGACGTGAATCATATTTATAGTAAACTTGAGAATCGATGTAATTCAATGGATTGTTACACCACCCGCTGGCTTAGTGCCTAGGATGAAGCATTGGCTGCACGTGCCACTGCATTGTTTATTTTGAAGTAAAATTCATCCGAGTAAAAAAAGCCAATGGGAAATCAAGCTGTCTGAAACACGAACCACAAGAACCACAAAAAACATAATGGGAAATAATCGGAATGAGAAATTATAAAAATGGCACAACTCTGGAAATCCGCAAGGAAATGATGGTATAATTCGCAGGCGAAAAAAGGAGAGCAATTTCATATTAAAACACAAAGATGCGAGCATCACACGAGTGAAAAAGATGTCGATGATTTTTGTGTTGTCACCTTCTGTCACTTGTTGTTCTGTGCCCGTATGTGACTTAAGTGTTGTTGTTCTGTGTGACTTAAGTGTGGTGTTCGAAAAACGAAAGTTCTTGCAAGGAGAAAACATGAAACTGGAATTAGAGCTGCTTCATGTTTTGTTTTATTGGGCAGTTAAAGCAGTGTAGCATGTTTTCAGGATTCTCACATAGTTCAAATAAACATGAGTCACTTTTGTTTGTCACGACTGGTGATCAAGCCGCTTTTAAGGGAGAGATTCACAGCTGAAATGAATGTTCAAAGAAACATTGCAATCCCAAAAAAACAGGAATCATGTAACGATCACTGCTATAAACAATGTCAAAACCAGCACTTGGAATGGAGAGTCCACTGAGAGTAGGATCATTTTTTTATTATCAAAAAACATCTGAAACCACACAGTATGGTGAAGAATAGCAGATATATGAGAAGGCATTAAATTGCCAAACAAAAGATAACATGCACAGAACTTTGTAAAACCGTCAGGAAATGAATACTATATATCAGAGAACACAACACAAGTTATTAAAAATGTAAACACAAATGCTTACATCAAAGCAGTAAAAAGAAGTTTGTGTTTTGTTAGTCTCACAAATGACAGCCATAAGAGACCCGAGATTGAACCGTGATGCATGACAGCGACAGAAACGTAAAACGAGTGGTGGAATTTTATGCAGGTCTCTTGCAAAATGAATTATCATTGACAGGTACCACAGAAAATGTTTTTGCTTGATGATGATGCTCCAGATGTAACGCCTGTATAAGTAACCACCACTGTCTTTTGTAGTATAACAAGTTATAGTTCCTGGACCGGTTCAAGGGTAAATAAGTCATTATTTGCATTGCATGGAGGGTTGCCAATTGCAGCCATTGTGTTTATTATTGCACTCATGTTAACGGATGCTTAGCGCATGTGCACCCATCTGCCATGGTTCAGTTGAAAAGGCTGCAAACGCCCCTCGAATACATCATCCTCTTATCTGCGAGCTCATTTCCCAGAAGAGTCATTGCTCATAGATCCTCACGGATTCACAGGTAATGTAGAGTATTGATAGTGTAGTGTACACCACACTGTGGTAACAAAGCACATGCACTGCATTGCTGCTCCCACTTTTATATACAGTAAATCCCTGGGTTGCGGAAAACCCGACTTACGGAAATCTGACTTTATGGAAATGCTCCCATAAATCATGTAAAAAAAAAATATGCAGAAATGTTTGCGTTAGGTAAGCGCAAATAATGCAGCGTGGTGAGGTTGCGGATGAATACCGTGGATAAAGTACATGTTCCATTCGTTTAATTATGGGTAGTGTTAGGATAGATATTCGATGAAAGAATCATCGTAAGTGCAGAGCATATGTATTGCGAAACGATACAGGAAGCGATAGAAAACGGACGACGGTGCGATGCAGTACTGAGAGAATACGGTAGGGGAGGCACAACTATTTCGGATCGTTCTCGGGTACCTAACGCTTCCATAACCCGGGGACTGCCTGTGTATAACACAGTTTAGGGTGAGTTGTGATATACGCTTTACAGAACCTAAATGTGGAATAAATCTCACGGTTAAAAATCACATCACATCGCCTGGTGTTTCATTTGTTAAGAGGGGTGTGACTCAGCCTCATGTTGTCCAATGAGAGCGAGGAAGAACAATTTTCTCGAGTCCCTTGGCGCCGCGGTGGCGAGATGTTAACTCCCTCGCCTGGTATGCGGGAGGTCGTGGGTTCGATCCCGACCCTGACGCCTGCATAGTTGGAATTTACATGTTTTCCCTCAACCTTTGGAAACGTGTTTAGAGTTTGGCTGCTGTAAATTTCCATGTGATAAGCCACTTCGTTGAGTTATCATTTGTGGCCAGGTCGCTTCAGGAAAAATACTTTTTAGCTTAGCGGGCCTTACCCGGTAAAATAAAAAATAGTTTATCTTGCTCGGGTCATGATAAATACAGCGACATCTTGTCCTGAGTATGGTGCCCAGACAAGGGTTAGAGCTCACGCGTCTGTATTCATGAGGAGGCTGAGACACTCGCTCCCCGGCCTGATGTCACATCACTAATCCAAAATGACAGGCTCTCACCAGTGCGTGGAGCCTAAGGGACCCATAAGAGTATAAGAAGACATCATTGTAGTGCACTTACTCAATCGTAACACGCTGAATGTCAGTGCATTGCCCAATGTTCTTCGCTAGGGGGTGATACAGCATCACAATCTTAAGTTAAGCTTTCCAGTCGAATGAGGCTTGTGAAAATATTACTCGATTATGCAAGTTGTGAGTTCAAATGCTAGACGGGTGTCTACGCAACCCATCATAAGTCAGATGATAAAATGAGTGCCCTTGTGGGAATTCAACGGTAATTGCGATTGGAGAATTTAGCTCTTGCTATACGATAGTGCAAAGATGTTATAGAAAGCCAGACATTTTGGGGCAACTGCTGTAATTCCTGTACCCACAAACCGCCCTCCCTATACTCCATCCCTATTCACCATATTATGTTTAGCTACCCTAATTGTACCACTGATAACCGTTGTAAAGCACCTTGGATAAAAGGGCTATATATAAATATAATATAAAAACAACAGTATATTTTCCTCGGGCTGATATTAAACGCAGCACTAATAGGTGCTCATTGCATTCTGAGAGAAAGTAGGCAAGGCCCAGGATGGGTTCAGATTCCAACTCCGAAAGGTCATTCATGGCCAGGAATCAATCATAGGGTTAGCATCATAGCAGAGTTTTTGAACTGCAAAGACTACGAAAAATTGGCCATGTATGTTTTGCAGGTGCCTACATAATGCAGCCGGCATAAATGAAACTTAGCACTTACGTTAATTCACCTTGCTCTGTCAACAACTATAAGCAAAGACTGCCGCTGGTGCTCTTCCGTGTTCCCCACTGAGTTTCTTCACAGAAAAGGGGCTTAATTATGGTTCCTCTGGAATGCTTGTTTTTGTGTTTTTAAGTTGTAAAAAAATGTATCAAGAAAGGGTTGTAATTGCAAACACAAGTGTGGTGTTCAAAGTGTGCGATTGTATCCACCCCTCATGAGCAAGTGGCATCATTTGCACCATTGGTATGCGGCTGTATTTAATCACTGTTCTCTCTTTTTGCATGCGCTCGGACAACGTTCAAGGTAAAATCAAAGGAAAATAAATTAGTAAGTATTGGCTCTTTGTGTTACCCTTTTGTTGCCATATTGCTTTCTCAAGTGCATCCATGTTACCACTCTCTGTAAACAATGATAAGATTACAAAGTTTCACCCACAAGCTGCACTCTCGGACATTTTTTAAGTGCTTGGCATAGGATTAGAATATGTTTTGTAAGCATTTCCCCCCCCCCCCCCCAATTATATTCCAATTAGGTGTGATGAGCTTCTTAACACGAGAATGAACAATGCTCATTTGAAAGCAGCAAACAGTGCACCACCCTGTGTCAGAGAAAACACCCCTGGAAGACCATGCCACAACTGCTTGTGATAGACCGCTTTGGCCACAGTTGTAGCAAAACTTGTCTATGCCCTTAATTCTAGATTTGAAGCTTTCGTGACTGCAATGATTCATATTCTTAGGTTTTTTCGGTAAAGTCACGTAGGTAAAAAACATTAAAAAGTAAAATAAAATAAAAATCACGACGTTTCGGAGGCAACACAAGCTTCCGTCTTCAGGTGGTACCGTCACAGCCACGACAGCTGTATCAAGTTAATGAGAGATTGCAGAAGCTACCACTCCGTTTATATAATTGTCTATGCCCTGCAAATAGTGTTCTTCAGATCTCGATCCTAGCGATTATTTGTAAGTTTTAGAGCAGAAGTAAGTCAGATGAAGTGGAAAAAATTAACTTGATGTAATGGGATGTTTGCTTGGCCAGTGGTGACTGAGCTGAGACCATCTGCTCACCACACTTGAGACACCAATTTAAGATCAGGTTGGCTGCATGGATTTGAACTCGCAGTGCCAGCTCAGTATTGTGGAGGGCGGCGGGTGGGGGGAGTTTGGCAGCTCTGAATGTGGTTATGTTGGTCAAGCACACACGTGTGGTGTTAAGTCCACAGTATGTGTGCCACTCTCCCAAATGCCGGTGTGACGACTACATAGCAGCTTTCCCGTCAGTTCTGAGCTCGAATGGCTTTGCCATGTGCATTGCGGGGGTACGGAGTGGCAGCAGGCAGGCGGATCAGTTGGGTGTGCCAATGCTCGTTCGTGCTCCCACCGGTGGCCAAAGCCATGCCTGCTTCAGCAGCAGTGCTGCTGGCTGTGTTGACTGGTAACTACCAATCGGATGTGCCGTAGACTGCGCTTTGCAGTTGGAAAAATCAGCCATTAGCTTTTGGTTTATGCCAGAAAACACTTGGAAAGATGTGAATTTGCATCGTGAGTGTTAGTTACACAATGTAACACATTAAAAGATGCCAGTTAACCACATTTCAACAGTGCACACGCTCACAAATATGTTGAAAGCTGTATAACTGCACACTGTATTTGCGAACGCTCGAGTAATTGCACAAATCTATATTAATGCTACGTGTAAAAATTGAGTTTTACTCAACCAAGCAGATTTTTTTATTAATTGATAGATTCTTATTTTGTGCTTTAAATGTGGCTGCATGTTAAACAGTTGATTTTTTTTATGCATTTACATATAGTTTTACATCTGTAGCACACCGTTTCCCTCGTTTAGCCATCTTATTTACAGTGTCAATATGCACTTGTATGTATGTTGAACTTCTTTTGCACCGTACATAGCCAACCATGCTAATTGGGAGGTGCGGGAATGCAGAGATACACTGGACTGTATCTCTGCATTCTGAGACCCGTGATGCCAAACGGAGCTGTTATGATGTGCGACGGTGAGACGTGCGGCTGACCCGGGAGCTTGGCGAGGAGCTTCGAGCCTTGCTGTGTGCGCACGCGCGTGCCCCTTCCTGTGGTGTGCGAGTGCAGCAGGCGAGCAGTGACCCCTACTGCTTCGTGGAGTTCTACGAGCACAGGCACGCCACGGCTGCACTCGCCGCCATGAACGGCCGTAAGATTCTCGGCAAGGTGAGCTCTTGAATAAACGGCTCTCTGTTGCCTCTTCTTTTTTCCCCACTTTGCAACTGAGATTGACACCCAAGGCCATACCGAGCCAGCCGGGCACTGTTAAGGAGAGACATCAGGTTGTTTTTCCACCACAACGTGAGCCATGCTGCTCCATGCTGCTGACTTCGCACTCATTGAACGTGTAACGTCAGTGGTTGTATTTCACAAGCATAAAAAAGAGAAGGGCATGGTTGTGGCCTAAGAGACCTTGAGTTTGTGTGGAACAACAGACCAGGCAGCTTCCACACGACTGATTAAAAAAGAGTGCTAAAACCACCCCATTACTCATAGAGTTGGGGTGGTGGAATTTTTGAGACAGCATGCAAGCGGATTTTGTGTTTTTATAGTGGTTTATACTCATGTCCCGCCGCTTCATAGCAAGCTCCAGGTTCAGCAACAGTCTCTTGACTTTTGCCCATGCACGCATGCAGGGACCCCACACCACCCAGCCCAGCTTTTCAGAGCTCATTCCGTAAAGGCTCATTAGTCTAGCTCTTCTTTCCTTTTTCTCTCCTCTGCCTCGTTGTGCTTCTGTTGTGTCTTCCTCCTGTCTCTGGCTCTAGGTCTGTATTGGTCTCACTCTCTCCCCTTGTCTCTGTTGATGCTCCCTTGTGTGCTGCGGTGAGGGGGTGGTTGTGCTGCGTAGGTTTGTGTCTCCAGGCAACAGCTGGCTCACGCCGTCCCGCAAACGCACAGATTTTTGTTTACCATGATGGTTACATGGTTGCTGCAGCTCTTAAGTGCTAAAAAATCTCAGCGTTATTATCCTGCTTCGGTTTATGTAGCAATATATATTCCGTGGGATCTTTAAATGTGAATCACCGCCAGTTACTGACCGGATTCTAACCAAATATTTCGCGTACCCCTATTCAAACTTCACTCTCCTTAACATATTTGCTAACCGTAACCGTTTTCTTGAATTGCAAGTTAGAGCTATAATGGTATACCATTTTCATGCCATAATGTATCTGAAAGAAGTTGTGCTGTCTGGCTCACGGTGGTGATGTCACCGAGCACCTCTGTGTGATAACGTCACGCGCATCCCACAGCTGATGTCACACCTCCAACCGACCCACCCCGGCCGTGTATCCCATGAAAATTCGTGGCAGTGCTATTTAAAACATAAAAACGTTTATACACCGACAATAACAATTCCACACGACTGTCTGGATGAGCGTGTACATGAATTCAGAAGCGGCAAGTGTACACGTGTGAAAAGTGCCATTGTTGGGAACGCAAGTATATAACTAGAAATTTCCTTGTCATACAAGCTGAAAAGGAGGCAGGGCCTGCTCGGCCACATCGCATCACGTTAGGCTCGTGTCTTCTGTGAACCAAACCATGCCAATCACTTTGCTCCCATGCGTATTGATCACTTAGAAATGTACAAGCAATTGCCAGTGTGGCCAGGAGTTTCAAAGAATAGTTTTATGAATCTACAGCACGTCTTTGGTAGAAGCAGTTTGTGTTGCATAATCTTTTCGTACACGGGCAACGAAATGACATTTAATCTCGGTGACATTTGGCCCATATCTTTAAGTATGTAATGGAGTTTCACATTGTGTTTTTCGGCAGCAGCTTTGAGAGAAAAATGATACGTTTCAATATTTAATTGGTGACCGTTCATCACTGATGGCTACATTTCTCCCTTTTAAGCTGGAGGAAGTCCTTTTGAATATTGTTGAGTTGCTATGTTTTTTCTGTGCTTTTGGCCTACACTTTGACCTTTTGATGTATGTATAACAGAGATGAAGGGAAAACAATTGTGATCACTCAGGTTGCCATGATCAAGTCTAGTGTGGCACGAGATTTGTTTTTACTATAATCTTCGTAAAATGTTTCAGCGTCTTAATTTTCATGCAAAATCCGTTTCCTTTTTTGGCACTTAAAAAACACACATCCTTTCAGCAACATGAATTACACAAACAGTGAGTTTATGTGCACATATGGGTATTGGCCAATTAGTTTTAGATTAACGAGCTCCAACTGCTCCGTGACAGATGCGGCGATGATTCGGCTCTGTCGGGTCACACGTGCATAAAATTTCAAGTATTGACTGTTGGGGGTGGGGGGAGGGGACATGCTCGGGATGTCTGCAGGCATTGAGGCCATTTAATCTCCCACATCCTTGGGTCAATTGAGCTGAGCTTGGCTTTCCTAGAAGACCCATTAAGCTTAGCCCAATATGTTTCATTAAACGTTTGGTTGACGGTACGTGGCTGAAGACCCTTTGACTTGCATTTTAACCTGGATTTGAGGTGACTGGACAAATGAGCAGTCATCTGCCCAACTGCAATGTTAAAGTCCCGAGTTGGCTGTAATAGTAATTTGAACCCATTCCATGCAATATATACTCATTGAGAAACATTGATTTTTACACGTGTTATTCGACGTTTGTATTCTGAGCCTAAAATCATTATTCATCAATAGATCTCGATTTAAAGCTTTCGTGACTGCAGGGATTCATCTTCTTGGTTCTTTCGGTAAAGTCACGTAGAAGGGAAATAATAAAAATTAAACATAAAATAAAAATAAAATAAAAACTAAAATAACATAAATAATGTGTTATTTTTATTATTTTATTATTTCCCTTCTACGTGACTTTACCGAAAGAACCAAGAACATCAATAAATCGTTGCATTGTTACACAATGAACAGCCATTGGTCTATCACCACAGTTTGTCAGGTTTCATTTGTTGAGACGGCAATCACGAGGCCAAACAATTTCCTCATTACCATGTTTACACAGGAATAGCTCATCGAGTCTCATTACTTTATTCAGCAGGGTCCTGCCAAGTTTCCACAGTAGGGGGGGCGGCGGCGGCGGCAATGATTGTTATTTATAATCCAAAACTTGAGTAATTTTCGGGTAATATTTCAAATTTGGATCGGGACACCCGCACACAATGGCCTAGCCTTGCGAACGATGTCTGCTATGAAGCTGCATTCAACCTGTGGACCTCTGCAAGAAGCGGTGAATGTGCGGCCACCAGGCCATGTCACTGCACCGGGCATTGTACAAGTTTTGGACTCTTGACTTGAACTAGCTGCTTTTGTTGCATTACTGTTGTCGTATGTGAGAGGGTCTTAACAATGTTTATTCTATTTAGTTTAATTGATTCTCGCAAGCTCGTGTATAGGGGTTTTCTTACATCAATTATAAGACCTCCACCAGTGGTCTCACCAGTTTCATGGATTCGTCCAGCAGTACAGGCTCTTTTAAGCAATATGACTCGTGAAACAGAAATATACCACTCGGACACTGAGTACACTACAACCCTGAGTATTTAATAGATCAAAGCATCAACTGGTGTCATAAGCACATCAACTTGCATCATTATTCTTCTACAGTATATATGGAAAATACGTGACCGACCGACGCAACCGTACGAACCGATATATGATGAAGAAAAATATGAATGTCTAGGTGTATAATCAGCTAACGTGTGAGCCCTCTAAAGTGTACTCCCATCTTTTTAGTGATGTGATTAAGTGATGTTATAATTGGAAAACATCTGTTACAAGGCAACCGCTAGATGCTCCCTCCATGAGCGAGCACCAATACCTCCTCCGCACAGGGTGAGGTTAAGGCAGCAGTCTCTCGGTCTCTCGCCACCCTTGGCTTGCAATAACTCAAACAGTCTGCAGCTGGCCATGCCTCCGCATGTACCGTCTCAAGGTTGCCAGCAAGGATGCAGTTCACTCCTTCAGTGTGTGCTACACAATCGCTGATGAGACTCGCAGTCAACCGCTGGTCGTGCCCATGTTCACGTACGGCAGGTGCCCGTCACTCCAGCTGGCAGAGCCCCCTCATTGTCTCCGGGGTCGGGCACAAAGGTTTTTGCACCATCCTCAGAACTTTCACCTCTAAGGTGATAAGTCGGACAAGGTATGCCTTGTATCAGACTCTCAAATCAAAGACTAATATAGTATGCACTGATGCAATACTTAACATGTGCCCACATATGTGTTGCACTCCTTAGTAGATATATAAAAACCAACCCACAGCAACTACAGATGCAAACTCTATTATTTAGCCTTAACAAAATAGGCAATGCACTGGCATTAGAACGAAAAAGTTTACTCTCGAAGAACTCAACAGTATATGGAAAATGTCGGAAAAACCAGATGGTGTCCTCTACCAGTCTGTAAAAAGAAAGTTTGTGCACCTCACAACAGACCGAACAATATATCCAGAAACAATAATTCTACCAGTAATATATCAGAACAGTTTTCTTTTTACCAGTGGGTCCTCTTCGTGTAGTAGCCCCTGGGATTCATGCCCTTCGCATAGATTGACTTGGGAACGCTGAGTTCAGTATTAAATGGAAATTTCCAGTCTTGAAATCACGCCCCTTCTCATAAATATGAATAACCGTTAATGCAACCAGACCATGGGACGATATAGAATCTAAGTCTTTAGACTAGGAGTTCGGATGTTATATCCATGTATGGTGTATGCTGCTTTTTGCAAGGACCAACATTTCAACTAATTTATTTCGGACAAAGAGCCTATGTCCTGTGAAAGGTCTCAGGTGCGATATCACTTATATATTTCTGGGCAGGAGAATGAAAGCCTCCCTTCCTAGACCATAACTCTGCTGATAGGAATTAAGGCCCTGTTTTAATGAGCACAAACACATATAAAGAGCAACTTCAAGACACTTGTAATGAACTATTATATATTTAACTCATGGGAAGTACCCGGCGTTGCCCGGTGGAAAAATATATTCCAAAATTTTTCGTAAAAACATAACATACATACATACACAAATACGAAGCTATTGTGAAAGCCAGGCGTTTCGTTTGTCCATTTTTCTGTCAACAAAATTATAAGAGGCTTGCAGACATCCAAAAAGTTTTAGAAAGTGGGGGATAAATAGTTGACCTAAAAGTTTTGAAAATTGTCGACCCCCCCGCAAAAAATATGTTTACCCCCACGTAGGCAAAAATACCTACACACCCTACATACAGTAGAGTGAGTATTGTCTAGTGACTATAGGAGTATCTATTGACTCTATAGTAGTATCTGCTGACTATAGCAGTATCAGCTGACTTTATAGCAGTACCTACTGACTCTATAGTTGTTTTTATTGACTCTGCAGCAGAATATACTGACTAGTGGAATCTACTGACTAGTATTATCTACGGACTATAGTAATATCTACCGACTCTGCGAGAGTATCTACCGACAATATTCTGCACGTCACCTTTTGTGTTGGTGTGGTGGCTTCAGCATTATGGGCTGCGATAGCCTCTTGTGCATGATTGATCGCAATTCCATTTCATACCAATTTTGCAATGCAGGGAATGTTGAACAATGCATTCGCTGGATGCAGGACCCAGCAGTATTACATGTTTAAAAAATGTAATGCTTTTGACAAATAGTTTTACTTTTAAATGTAAGGAGTCTTAGACCAAAGTTGTATGCCTTAGTACCAGATATAATCTGCTTACAACCACACTTTATTGCCGTTTCAGAAACCGCTTGCACATCGATTACAGATTTGGATGTATCGATCCAGCTCAATTTTATTCTGGTTTTATCGGCCAACGGGGGATAGGGATTTTCATTATGCATAATTTCAATACATTTTCTCAGTCGTTCTGTCTGAACCTTCGTTATTTGTATTAATTCCAGTAGAAATGTCACATGGATGTTTTTTTCGTCTATCTACCTGTTTGTGCTGACCTCCCGTGCTCAACCTTATTAGTTAATTGCTACTTGATATTGAGTTTGCCTTAACAAGCTCTGAATTGATTGTTGTTGGTGCTTAAATTGAACTCTTAATTCCTGATGCGATAAAGCTGCTAACCTTTACCATTAACCCGACTTGATAATAGAACGCACCGTCGGCAATGCAAACAGATCAGAAGTGTTTCACCATTACACCCAGCACTGGCCATCTCTTGACATAAAATCTCACCTGTATGTTGGTCTGCACGATCGTTGCTAAACGCCCAGATACTCTTACAAGATGATTATATGAAGATTTATGGAAAGGTCTGATCATTCAAAGACTTATTGCAGACTAGCTTTTCTACCCAGATTCGCCCGAGACTTGGATTGTCTTGGATTAATACACGACCTACGCGGAGGGTGGGGGGGGTGCGTGACGTCAGCAGGCACACTGCGTGACGCTGCCGCATGCGGGTGACATCACAGATGTGACGTCACCTGCTCACTTGCCGTGCAAAATATATCCATTATTGCGCCCCCCCCCTCCCCCAAAATACAAAAGTCTATTTTTAGACTTTTTACATTGTTTACAGTCTGGAAGCTACTCACATGCCAATTTGCAAGTTTGTTGCATGTCGGGAAGTATGCTAAACATTTCGAATTTCCGTTTTTTACATTTGATCTGTTCAATGTAAATTGCTCGAAGGTTCTGGGGATTATTGCTGTGGATTATTTATTTACAAGAACCAGTAATATCCATGCAAGTCTGAAAAAAAACATTGAGAAGGAGATACGTATTTAATTGTTTTTTCGTATCAACAAAACACTTAACTTGTGTTTAGTTTGTCGTCCTTCCCCCGCACCTCCAGTGAGCACGGTTGGCTACGTACGGTGTGAAAGAAGTTCTACATAAAACTAGATGAACTTAACTGTCAGATTTAATCAAAGCTTGAGCTTTTGATAGAAAGGACAACTGTAATCGGCCAATACTTTCATACAGCTCAGCAATCTGCACAACCCAAATAATTTAAGCACAAATCTCCGATTCGCGCGGTTGGCCACATGCGGTGCGAAAGAAGTTTGACACATAAAGCAGGAGTGACAGTCGCACCTCTGGGGGCCATCGCCTGCAGAGCTATCGCACTCTGCTAAACGTCCTCTTAGCAGTGGCACTTAATTGCGCGAGATTCTATTCTATTTCGGATTCATATAGCCTCCTTTTCAGGGATGCCTGATACTTGACAGCACACGAATTGCTTTTGTAATTCTCCGCCAACCATGTTTGGGCATTGGCAGGAGTGGAAACCGTTCAGGCGTGGCACGCTTAATGAGCGAGATATATTCCGCAAAAAAATCCTCGGGAATTGAAAAGTCTTTAAACGATTGTCGCTTTCCCATTGACTCCCATGTTAAAAGCTGAGATACGTTTTGGCCCCAAAAATCCCCACTCTGGAACAGCTTTTTTAAGGTGAGAAATACAAATTATAATTATAAAATAAAGTAATTAAGCTTCAAATGTAATACCACGTATTAAGAACGACAGTGCTTTGCAGGTGCCTGGGATTTATGTTATTTGAAGGGTAGGTGTTCGTGGGTGGAGGGAGCGGCAGAGGCCATGTAGGACCGCTGATTCAAATATCGCTCGTCACTGATGTTAGCTGTAGCTGGGAATTGAAGCAGGGTTTCTTAGTTAGTTTAACACGTAGGCTTTCGTGACCAATATCATCCATAATAGAGGTTTTTTTTGGGGTTAGCTTAAATATATGAATGTGTCTTTAAACCTGTTGCTTAGTTCATAGCCACAATGCAGGGTTGCGAAATGGAGCACTACTCCCTATCCTCGGCGTCTGCAATTAATTAGCACCGCCACCCACCCCTGGGCACTCCCCTCCCCAAACCTGCCCACCCATCCCTCCACCCTCCCCTCCACCCTCCCCTCAACCACCCCTCCTCGACCCATCCACCCACCCTTCCCCTCACCCACCCATTACAATGATACCCCCCTCCCCCGAGACGGAACACGCAGACAGACGACACAACTGGTAAACGAACATCTGCGTCCCACGCTCCCTGCCGCCATGGGACGCAGATTGAGAGGTTCCTGCTCGCTAAGTGAACATTTTGCTCCTTTTGGGAACAAACTGGTATAAATTTCAATTGCTCGTTATTATGAATTATCGTTAAAAGAACGCTCGTTAAGCAACACACGCCTGAAACAAACTTATACATTAGCTCAGCATTGAGCTTGCACACTTTTGACCTTTGCAGCAGTTTATAATAATTAGTTAAAATTTTCACCCCTTGATAGTCCATTGCTAGATGAATGCTTCCCCATGTCACCATCAGTCATTGGGGTTGTTTGACTGTACTTCTCCATGCTGGTCAGTGAGGTCTGGTGAAGGCATGGGGAAGGCTGAGCCAACAACTGTCTTAGGGATCACTCGCAACTGACATCCATTTCCAAGAATGTAACTCGGTTTTGCCAGGTTGAGAGCACAGTGCTCTAACCACTGCTCCACCACACTCGCAACTGAAAGTGTTCCCAAGTGCCTGAGCCTGTCCCCCACATTTGACCTGCATGTTTAATCCCAACGTTGTATTTTTTGTGCCTTACAGGAAGTGAAAGTGAATTGGGCCACAACACCTAGCAGCCTGAAGAAGGACACAAGCAGTGAGTGCATGTCATTACGTTCCCCCCCCCTCCCCACACTGCACCACCGCCGCCTACTACACGGGGCCTGCCCGCCCGTAGAGCTGGCAGCCACAGCCAGACACAGGCCCCCCTCCCTGGCTTCTGCTCTGAGTTTAGAGAGAGAAAGAGAGACCAATGCTGCCATCTTGAGTGAGGTGTCGTCTTCCCTGTTGACCGGTGATAATAACCGCGTGTGTTGCACACAGACTCCTCTTGTCATGTTCGTTAAAGCCGCACGTTACTACCAAGGCCTTCGTATCAATCATAAAATAAAAACTAGATAGTTAAATGCAGTGTTCGCCCAACTGTTAGACTCTTTTGAAGATGTATTGGACTGACCATGATGACTATCTAGTAATGTTATCACAATTTTATCATAAAACTAACTTACATTTAATTTGGTTAAAAAAAAAATTACTAAGCAAAGCCTCATTAGGTGTGCTAGACTAACATTAGCCCTGCTCTTGTAGTGAGCCCAGTTCCATTTGCACATACCAATGAGGAAGCCAATTCCCTGATAATACCCTCATGCAAAAATATCTTACTCTGCCTGGTCTCATCAGAATCCGTATTCTGATTCGCCATCTACAGGCACCTTGTGGCCCAGTAGCTGAGTATCCAATGTGCAGAATTCTTCTTCCATCTATCAGTGGTCCAATAGGCCCCACTCCTATAAGTTTCTCAATTGCCGTTGCACGCCAGTGCACCTGGCAAAATTTAATGTATCTAAAGCTTATTTATGCAGAGTGCCTGTGGTATTGCATACGTTTAGACAAGGCTCTACCAACACTTAATTTACAATTGTTAAAATATGGAAGGCATTGACCATGAGTGGCACGTTGATTTTCATCTGCCTGTAGTCGGCGCACGCCTTATGGAAATAAATCAACAAGATGTCACATGTCTGCCATGCATATACCAAAGCCCAAAAAAAACCCCATACAATCATTTGGCTGAACATACCATCGTGGGTAGCAGTGGCTCCCTGTGTAGCTTGTGCACATGAATGGCAGGAATGGCCTTGGCACTTACGTGGGATGGGCCAGGATTAGCAGTTCCGCTGGCGCTAGCGGGTGCCTTAGTTGTTGGCTACCTCGCTTAAGGTGGCACCGTTAGGCTTGGCATTGGTGAGTCTCGTTGGGTGGCACTGCCTCTGTAATTGCTGCCAGTGGGGTGCTTGTGTCCCTGTTAGTAATGTCGCGCGGTTAAACATATCTTACGCAAAGCATTATTTTTCTCATTCACTTAATTTGCCCTTAAAACTATTGTTTATACATTTTTTTAACGAATATCATTATAAATTAACATTTTTACTATACATGTTAAAATGTGTGTTACATATGCCGTATTTGTATACCCAAGTACTTGTATGCATATATGCCTGTGCATCTGTTGGCACATGTATATAAATACGTTAATTAATTGCATAGCACTGCTGCAAAAAAACACAACGCCGTCACGTTGTTCCCGTCTGATAAAGAATTCCCTCGGCGGCATCTCAGATGTCAAATCGCCCGATTGGCCACCTTTTGAGGCATGGGCGCACGAAACTTGATTGCCCGGTGATGTCCAGTGACCGCCCCCCCCCCTCCGAGTGCCCCACAGTGTAGAGCCAATTGTAACGGTCCCCTCATCGCTGTGTGTTTTTGCAGCGGCTGCTGCTGCTGCTGCTAGCAGTGCAATCGGCGATGTGCGCGGCTACAGCTTTGTCCAGATTGTGTTGCGGTTGCGTCGCGCGGATTTAACAGTTTTAAGCGCGCCAAATTCATGGGAACGTGGCAGTGCTGGTTGTTTATCCTAGAGTTCCATAATAGTAAAGAGTTTCATCTTTTTAAAACAGGCCCATCTACCAACTTTGGAACACGCCAGTTAGGTAGGTACACCCTTAGTATTGCTCCATTTACATACTTTTGTATTTTTATTCTTAATGATATTGCCTATATTGTCAAGGCACCATTGAATTTTTTGTGTAAGTTTAATACAGTGTGTAATTTTTCATTGTACTTTTTATGTTTCACAAAAATGTGTTAAAGGACAAAAAATGTTTAAAAATTGCTGTCTTGTTAGGGAACATGGATATAAGCGAAATTGCACTGCTAACGCATTTTCCCCCCACAATATGATGCCAATTGATAATGTGTAAATGTGTTTTCCTCTACAAATTGAATATTTTTTTAAAAAATGTGAAATTGGAACGTAGTAGGCAGCTGCATAAGGCCACGCGCCTTCAACCTGTTGCAAAAGGTGAGCGGAACCTAATTTTATACTTTTTTTTATCAACGGACAGCAATGTTTTATTGACTTTCTCTGCTTCTCCTAATACTTGCCCCATCTACCCCCCTCCCCCCCTTTTGTCACCCTAACCATGGAGCTAGACTTAGACTAGGAAGGCCACGGTGTCTAAAGGCTTGCAACTGCGTACGCAGACCCAAGTGGCTTTCGTGTTTAGTTCAACGTGTTTATGCATCACGCACGTTGCTGGAGGATAACGGGGTGGGGTGTGCAGTGTGGTTGGCTGAATGAATTGTGCTTTAAAAATGGGACTGGAAGCAATTTAGAACTTTAGGCTGACCTTTGATGGTCTCTATGGATACAGAACAGAATTTGAGGGCCACACGTTGGATGTAGCAAAAATGTAAGACTGTCAATTATGGTTTCGATACCTTGAAGCTGAAGTGCTGTTTCGCATGTACAACAGCGTTAAACAATTACGCGGGTCTTCCTGCTCAAACGGTGATATGATGCCCATATCACCTGGTGGCTCTCAACCATTTCAATTACAGGAGACGCTCTTCAAATGACAAAACACTGTTGAATTAAACGGTACTTTCTACATGAAGTAAAACAAATCAGTGTGAAGAGCGAGGACATGGCAATGCTTATGATCAGTTGATGAACCTGGGTCAGTGGTGGAAATTCCACATTCCTGCAGTGGAGGACAGACTGTATATTTGGTGGATACTTTTGAAGTCCCGTTGAGTGTTAAATACTTACTCTTCAGAGATAATGCATGAAAACACAACGAGCACAATTTTTTATTACATTTGTATGTTTTTGTTGTTTATATAACCGAACCTAGGGGTAGGAAACCTTTTCCTTTCCAAGGGTTGAATCGGACTTTAAAATCTATTTGGCTACCCACACATTGACGTCCAATAATAACCCAAAAAATAATGTGCGTGTTGACTGATTATAAAGTGACAGAAGTGACCGAGTGCGGCGCTAAAATTAGAAACTGTTGCCACGTAGAAAATATTTCCCTCAAGTTTCCGATGAGTGCAGCTAAGTTGCTTTCATTGATGGATGAACATTGTTTGCAGGGCATTTTGACGGGGTAGTCCTCATGATGTATGTATGTTGTATGTTTGTGGAACTTATTTCGCACCCTACGGAGCCAACCGTGCTAATGGGAGGTGTAATTGCCAGCCGTCTGAAATTTTGTCGCAGGACAGAGATGTCCCACCCCTGATTTAAACAAATTTTCGACTCCACTCGTACTATGCACAATGTATATTCACAAAAAAAAAAAAAAATTTACAATGGACATTTACAAATGTGGTACATAATACCTTGGCCACTGCCACGATAATGCGGAATTTCCACTTCACTGGATGCCCTGGAGTGGTTTACTTTTGGTGTTTGACTCGGCCCATGTAGAAATTTCATATACACAGACATCCCACCATGGTGGACAAAGTGAATATCACTTTGTGGCGAGTCCAGATTGGTTGTTCCATAGATGTCCTGGCCCTGCCATGGGCATGTACATTATACACTTGGGGCCTATGGCTGCCAAAGGGGATCAGCATTGCTCATGAGAGCATGTAGAATCCTTCACTTTTGTTCAGGTTGGTGAACTGTGATCCGAGTTTAACACCTTACAATAGTGGCTAGTGATATATAAATCTGGTTCCCCTCCCGCCACCAACAACATACACTGACCAGCATGGTGAAGTGTATGGTCAAACAATCCACAGAACTGTCATGGTGTAGGGAGGCCTTAATCCAACAGAAGTAGATTGACAAATGACTGTAAATGATAAGATAGTTTCTTAAAATAGTTTGATTTTTTTTGTCCAATATTGAATTGACAGCAGGCTGTAAATTTATATTTTCACGGACATCTATCTGTCATTATACGGCAACTCAATATACATAATTTCGCAATAACGTAACTTTTAAGGTAGTAAATCAATTTGGTATACTTTACGTTAACTTAGCATTTACGGAATTTTAATTCTATAAATAAGATTTTTTTTTGGGAGGAAAAAAAATCTAACAATGGCACGGTCTTTCGTTTGTCCTAACGTGCATTTCATGGCTTACGCTGTTCACACTACCGGTTTCCCGCAATCTTGGTGCAGCCCCGAGCTTGGCGCGTTTTGCTTTCACCCCTTTGTGTTGACCACGCCTCATACTGTACTGTGCAGGATTTCATCCTTTTTCAACGTTCTTCAGTAAAAGTAAGTTCAAGATGTCTGGAAAGAGTGCCATTCAGTGCAAATGATAGCAGATGTGCAAACAAGAGACGGTGAAGCAATAATCTTAGATGAGTTCATAATCATCACCATCATCACCAGTCTCATCATCATCATCCGCACCTCCAGTTAGCATGGTTGGCTACGTACCGTGCGAAAGAAGTTCAACATACATAGTACTGCAGAGGATTTTTATTTTGCAACTTATTTTGAGTATTAAAATGTCATGAAATATTATTTTGTTAAATATGTTCTTTAAAAAGGTTTGCTGCATTCTTGATTGCAATTTTATTACGTTTTTGGGCCGAACTTTTGTCCGTTAGGAATGCATCTCCGATAAAATGATGGAAGTCAATGGGAAAATATACAGAATTTTGGCGGACAGCCTTTGAGGAACGTATTTGTTCCGTATATTGAGGGGTGCCCATATGATACGTTTCCATTACATTTTAGCACGCTATTACAAGTCTTACATAGAACAATTTATTCAACTATGATATGAAGCCGTTCGCTGTCATATTATTAACTATTTCGCAGAAATAGAACTTTATAATATAGTTCATTATGTAAGTGATTAATGGGATTTAAAAAAAATAATAAATGAATAGTCCGGCCCCATGTATCGTGTCTGGTGGGCTATGACATTGAATTTTACAAAATGGCAGCACAGCCGACAGACGGTGGCTTCACTTTTATTGAGACAGGCACGATTACAGCGTGTACTGGCGCAGTATAATATTAGCTCTGTAACACTCGGGCTGTCTCGTCTCAGAGTACAAAGCAAACCCGTAGCATTCTCGCATGTCACATGCAAACCAGATGTGCGGCATAGCGGAGTTAGGGTTTCGGAATTACGTCTGGCAATTGGTTCGCATTAGTTCACATTTGTACGGAGCTCTCGTAAGATGTTTGAAAGTGAAATTGCCACAATTGTGCATGTTAAAATGAGTAACGGATGCACCCATGACACATTGTGCTGCGGAGAAATGCCACTGGCCCGAAACGTTGCCAAGTATTTACTTTTCCTTTTAAGGGCGCAGGAAATGAGTTTTCCGTTTTTTTTCCATTATTTGTGTGCCCCCCATGACTGGGACGTTTTTTTCCTCACTTTATTGGATGCAAAAAATTACGCTGCGACACGGTGTGGTGGTGGCGGCGGCGGAGTAGTCGACCGAGTGCACGCGTGCGGTTGGTTACTGCCCGGCGATCGTCTCCCCGCGTTTCATGCACAGCTCAGTAGTCCATGATGCTTGCACAATTATTTGTCCACCTTAATTCAGGCAGTCCCTTAAACAATGACTTAGTAAATGTTGCGGGCGCAGCCATTCAATGAATGGCCCGTGAGCCCATTGGCTGATGTTTTAATTGGCAGTGGTCCAAACTATAGTGGCTTTCTTGTATGACTCCCTATTTTGTTCCCCCAGTGCCTGTTGTGAACATTTTGGAAGCCTGCCCAAGTGCCTAGTTGTGTGTCTGTGTGTTTTTTTTGCTTCGGGTTGAAGCTGCACTCGCTGATCATTGCAGTATTGTTCAGTGTAGTGCCATTTGCTTTGCCTTGGGAGGAATTGTTGTGTGGCCAATCAGGATTGCTGCCATTGCTCGAAAGCATTTGCAAGCGAGTTGTGTGGTCATATGTTGCCTTGCCTCTATTCCCAATGCAGGAATGTTCAATTCCTGGTGGGACAAATGTTTGCGCCCGCTGTTTGTATTATAATGTTGGAGTAATGTCTTTCATTGTATTTCCAATTTTTTTGGTATCCGGAACAGACGTTGATTAATTAATTATTTTGTGTGATTTTGTTATAATTGAATTAACCACAGTGGTCTATACCAGCCATTATGGGTCAGTCACATGGTCGAGTGGCAGCTCTTTTGCCACTAGTTGTGGAGGGTCACGGTTCGAGTCCAGGCCGACTAGGTTAGTTGTGCACGAGCATTAACTGTAAGCACCGTCTGCTTCGCAGCAGACGTAAAAAATGCAGTGACTTTTCTTTTTATAAATGCTCGCAACTTACTTGATTGGGAAATACTGAAGCAACACCCACCCCCCCACCCACTACTTACAGCAGTCTAATGCCCATTCGCAGGCCGGTGAAGCGTGTACACCTTGTGCTGCAAACGGTCAGCTGTCATTGGGTGTTCCCTTCTTCAGACTGCTGCAGGGCATTGACACGGTTGGGATGAGATGTGTGATGTAATGCGCTTTGAGTTGCCAAGGCATTTAATCACCCTTTAAATGCAAATCCTTATCCTTACCGCTTTCTTATGAAATAGTTTTCCCAAAAGAGGTTGACAAAGCCTAAGGAAGGTGATCCAAATGGACAGCTAGTGTTCATTTTACTTGAATCTGCATATTTACATGTCACTCAGTACTACCTTGAAAATAAATGTGCAT